CCCTATAGTATGTGACGATATTAACTTAATGCAGTCCTCTTCATTATCAAGAGATTCAGGAAAGACACTAAAGAGTTTCAAGGAGACCAACAGGGAACAACAATTATACAACAACAAAGATGAAGCATAATCCCACTATGTCTATGTGTGAGCTATATCGAACATAGCAACTTTTAGCCATGCCCTGTCTCATAGGCAGAGGATACCAAAATAGATAGCAAGAGGGCCACACAAAATCCAATTTGATCATTATTCTCATCATGAATTAAACGATAGAAATGCATATTTTAGAGCACCTACAAAAATTCATGTCCAAAATCATCAAATTCTGCACTAGGATTAAAAACTGCTCGTGCGTAATGTAACACTTATACAAAAGAACACAAAGAGATTACAACGGTTATGGAAATTCATGCTTTCTCAGGCATGCATGCACTGTCAATAAAAGTGACTTCAAGAAAGCTTAAAAGTACAGTTTTTTTTTGGCAAAGAGCTTAACAATAACTGACGAATAACTAAATTTTTTTTTTGAAAAAAAATTATGGATTTAAAATTAGGGCAAACTTACCGGTGAGTTGCCGGATGGAGGAGAGTTGGCTGTGGGAGTCGCCGAATGGAGGGGAGTTGGATTTGAGAGTCACCGGACGGAGGGGAGTTGATGTGACTCGAATTTTAGAGTCGGATTTGAGTGGAGCAATTGTCGGATTTCAGAGTTGCCAGACAGAGGGGATGGCCGGCGGGAGGTGACGTGAGTAGCCGGACGGAGGTAAGGACTGGTGGGAGGTGACGTGAGTCGTCGAATGGGAGGTAAGGGGAGTTAGGGTTTTTTGGTCGAGGGAAGAGGGGAGAAATGAATTAGGGGAAAGGTTGACTGGGTTTATATAGTCCCGCGACAATCGGATTTCCTAAATCCGAAGGAAATGGATTTGGATGATAGAAATCTGAATCTCCCTTGCTTTCCCAAAATTTGCATACTCCCGGATGGATTTTTCGGGAACGGATTTTCAAAATCCGGAGATAGTACAAAACGGGTAAACTCGGATTACGGAAATACAACTTAAACGTACAAAATGCATCCAATCGGATGTTCAAAATCCGAGACTACGACAGAAATACAAAATGCACAATTTTGTTTTTATACAATTCCAAAACCTGTTATCAACAACTAGTATCTATTTTCAGCACAATCATAGCACCAAAAATTTAATGTTAACAATACAATCCAAATTTATCAATACAAAAAGTTATAGAACATCTAATTAAACAGTTGTAATCCCAAATAACATGGTTTCCCGATGTGCAACAAGAAAACTAAATGTCTTTCAATTCTAACTGTCATTCACAGGCCTTCTATCTACTCCTGAGTGCGAGCAAGGACAAGAATTGGCATCGAGACCTTGTTGTCCGCATCTCCAACATTCTCCCCGGCTCCGGTGTCCCCTGTAATCCATTTGCATTCTATGTCTTCTTTTTTGTTTTCGTCTCAGTCCTGCATTCAAAACAAGACGCTCATAATTCGAAATGATATTCCAATCGACCGTCGGTTATTGTTGCTCATCGGGAACTGGAACAAAACCCATGTAATCAAACTGCTCTTAGTCCTGAACTGGAATGATATTCCAAACTGCGAGTGCGTGCGTACAAGGCATACAGTATTCTTGTCACTTCCTGCACGAACACCTATATTGATCGCAGTTCACCGTATACAAAGACCCACCCCTGCCACTTAGCCATGTTGCAGTAACCACTCGCCACCTAGCATCATCACCATCAAAAGGGGAAGCATCATAACTGGCTGCTTTGTCGTTCATTTCCTCGTATTTTTTTCATAACTCAGGAGGGATCGGTGTAAGGCAATTTCTCGTCAACAGTTGTTCATCTCTATAAAATTTGACAGTTTTGTGAAAGGTTGAATCGATCAAAGCTCTAATAAAAATCGGATCCCTTTCAATGTATTGTTGTAACTCTCAGAAATGTTGGTTGTCGCTACGCCCCTATGGGGACGACCGGCTTTCAATCGAGCCTAGTTACTCCCTCTAATCCCTCGAAGATACTCCCATGCTGTAGGTTTGAATTCAATAAGCTCTGTCCTCATACGGTTGTATTTTTGTCTTGAAAGCGTTGTGCCCATCTTCCAACATAACCGCTTCACCTTTCTGCTCTTATGTCGCGACACAAGATTGCTGTGAACGTGGCGAAGGCAATAAAAGTGGAGTCCATCCCCTAAATCACGCCATTCATCCATCTGTGACATTGTGCTCAACAACCCTACATTCCGTTCGGATATCACACTCACGATTCTATCCTGCAAAACCCGCAACCTCAAATTCCTCATAAAAAAATGTCTAACTCTCTACTGTCTCATCATCAACAATCGCAAATGCAACCGGTAAAATGTGCGTGTTTGCTGTATAGACCACCGCAACAAGCAATTTACCCTTGTAACCACCACGCAAGTGTGTTCCATCGATACAAATGACCGATGGACATTCAAGAAACGTCGCATTCACTGGTGCAAATGACCAGAAGACGTATTAAATGTCCTATTTTCCCTGTTCCAACCTTCTTTTCCCTCCTTCCATTTTCACTGTACTACAGTCTCAGGATTAGTAAACTTAAGCGCAGCAATATACCTACACAATAAACGAGTCACAGTTAAAACATTTCAATACATGTAACCCAAAAAAAAATAATGCATATAACAATTATAAAAGTTGATATTTACCTAGGAAGTTTTTCGAAATTCGAGGTCCAATCACCATACACCGCTTCTATGGCTTTTCTCCTCCCGTGCCACGCTCTTTTGTATGGCACATCTACTTTCAATAAGTTCTTCACATCTTTCTGTGTCGGGGCCACCGTATAATCTACGTTGTCCTCAACCTTTCTCCTGATGAGTCTAGCAATAAAAAACGCATCCACACACCGATTGTCATTATCATTCACGGGAGTCATGTAATTATGTGCATCATGCCATCTCACAATTTGATGAAGGCCGTGATCTTTCAAAGACACACGCATCTTCCACACACATGGTAGACCACCATCTTCACTTGGTACATTTAATATTCTACACTGCATAGCCCACGTCGTTAGACTACTCGCGAAAACCGTATATTCTCTTTTATGATGAATGTTCCATAATTTCACAGCATGTTTTGATTCTGATTGGGATTTGAAACAAACACCAATGTCCATTCCTTCGGGGGTCTCATCCCACATCTTAAGAGCAAACTCATTCTTGTCCACACACGAGGCATCCCATTTCCCCATCTTACAATATACATGGCGTCGGGGCAATGGATTAAGATTCCTTTCCTCATTTTCCAATAATTCATCATCACTTTCCTCTACATCACTATTTGCAGAAAACTCACGGTCTTCTTCGCTTTTGCTTGGAGCTATGTAGTCGGGATCCGACTCTTCCCTGTAGATATCTTGTGCAAATAAAGGTGTCTCCTCTTCGTCACGGTTTTGAGAAGTACTAGCACGTTCCCCCTTTGGAAAACCACCAAATAACATGTTTTCCAAACTCGCTTTTCTTTCTTCGTGAGTGATATCTTCCAAATCTATGTATAAATCCAAACATGACATTGGAGCTAAACGGTTCATGAACTGTACATGCAAATCATTCTTGATCTTCACTACATGCCTACCACCGGAACTATCGAAAATTACAGAAAGGTGGAGTTTCACGTGTACTGGATCCCAACCAAGTGTCATACAAATCTTACTAATCAACTCCACATATGACAACCTTTCCTCAACAAACAAGCCATCATCCGGCATATTCGAAAAAGTGTTGATGATATCATTCTCTATCACATACTCGCTTGCATGAAACAAATTAAGCATTTATGATACATTACATGCCATTGATAACTGTTAAAAAAATCAATATCTAATCAATTCTTGAACAAATACTTATATCTTTCAATAATTAATTCGCCTATACTCGGTTACATTATCAAAGTTTATATTACACTACTAAAATAATATTCCGTACATAATAAAATAGTATTATTGAAGTTAAACTATCACCTATAATAACAAAATCAACAAAAATTCCATACATACTTCATTCTATATTCAAAAAACCTATAAAATGCTAAAATACTAGAAATCAATTTTCATATTTCATGAAATATAATGAGTAACAATGATTTCTAACCTCTAACCTCAAAATCAACACCTACAACATACATACATCATTTAAACATCCAAACAATCAACAAACAAACCCTAAACCATCTTACTTCATTCTAACAATCAAAATAACACAAAAATAAACTAAATAACATGGTTTAACTCATAAGCTCTTTCAAATAACGATTCCTAAAGTATTTAGCGGTAAGATTGCATAAGGAACTCCAAATCGCCACCCAAGACCAGCAGAATCAGAAAAAAAACAACCAGTTCTCGACTAAAAACTGTCTTTTTGTTTCTTTTATATCACGTGAATCTCGGATTTTGTAAATCCGAATGAGTAAGTATATCGGATTTTAGAAATTCGAATCTAAAGAGATTCGGATTTTCGACATCCGAATGTCGTCATTTTCAGATTTTGTTTTTCTTTTATTAGCCCTCCAATTTAAGACACATATCTACTTTTACCAACCAAAATTAATTAACATCGGATTTCGGAAATCCGATTGACATTCAAAATTATGGCACCATAATTTTTTCAAACGGCTATTTTAATATTTTGTAGTCGGATTTTCAAAATCCGAATCTTGTTACTCTATTTTCGGCATTTTTCTAATTTTTGATAAGTAAAAATCAAATTTTAATATTAAAGAGGATTTGGATTTTAAAAATCTGATTTGCTAATTTTAATACTCATTCGGATTTTGAAAATCTGACGCACATAGTTTTGTCCACATAAATTTTCAAAAAAATAATTTTGTCTATTTTTTTTAAGGAATTTTTTTAGGGAAAAGATCCAAGACCCAGATGACCTTTTTGCAATAAGCTAAGTAAGTGGGGGCTTTCTGTAAATTGAGAAAGCTTCCCAATTAAAAATCGGCTGAATTATTTTCATCCTTCCTTCCTTCGCCGGGAAAACATAAAAGCCGACGCTGCCTACTTTTTTCAAACTACCAAGGTTCTTTTTCCCCGTTTTTTTATTTTTATTTTTTTGAAATCTTCTTACAAGTTAAATATAGGCCAAGCTTTTCTTTTCCAATGGTATTCAGCAATGAAGGATGATTATTTTTGGATTTGCTTTCGGTAGAAACATTCTGTGTAAACCCTGAAAAGAAAAAAACAGAATTATTTTTGCAGTTTTCCTCGTTCGTACGGTCAACTGCAAGTAATTTTGCTTCGAATTTTCGATTGTTCAAAAAAAGAAAAAAACATGGGATACGATTCCCATTATTCGAAAAAATCACAGGAACAATCCCAAGAAGAAGCACCCAGCACAAGTTCTATGAATGGTAACTGTGATGTTAGCAGCAATGGCGGCAATAGTAGCGAGACGAAACCCAGCGGACCAACCTTCTTTGATGTATATGGCCCAGACGTACGGTTATCTACGCATTTACGCCTTATTCTATTCCGTTTGTTTTTCTTCGAATTCTCTTTCCCGTTCGATGATTAGTTTTTTGGGTTTTGGGGTTTTGCGGTTTTGGGTCTTGATATGAAAAGATAAGTAATGGGGTTGTTAAGATAATTATACGGTTACTTGAGTTAGTTAAAGTCGGAAATTTTGTGGAAATGGGTTTGGTCAAGAGGGTAGGGAGATTGAATAAAGGCATTGGTGCTGCTGTTTGAATCATTTCATAGAAAAGTAAGAGGTTAATTTGTTCATGTCAAAAAGAAGAATAAAAAACGAAACGGATTTTATTTTGCTTAGTTTTTGGTTGTTTTTAAATGGCTCAAGAAAATTCTGGTGTTCTTAATTTTAGTGAAGTTGCTGGAAATGACAGGGTAAGGCTAAAGACGCCAAAAAAGTCGAGAATATACTGGATATGTTGTAGTAGTGTTTAAGTGTCTTATGACTATGGAAGAGCTGTTAGTCATTGAGGAAGGGAGAAAGTTTTAGCATTTGATTTAGTTAGAGTTGAAATTTTCCTGCTCTATGATCGTAGCAGGCTTAATAAAGTTCTTGACGTTTTATGATTGGTTACCACAACTTTGATGCAGCGTGAAACTTCACAGATTTTGTTAATAATCGTGCTTCTGCCCTTATTTTGAAGCTGTTTGTTTAACAGTTCAATCATTGATGCAGTATTTCTTTACTCTGGGTTCTTTCCTTTTCTTCACTCTGCATGTAGTTTGTTCGCCTGAAAAATTAGGTCCACTGCAATGGCCTTGCAGTTCCTGTAAAATGTTGATATTTGGAAACAGCTTACAATTTGCATTATATTATTTGTTTCTTTGTGCATCGAACTGCCTTTAATGTTGTTCTTTTGTATGGCTTGTTTCTTAATTTTATTGTTTATTTGTGCTTGTGATGACTAACGCAAGTTAATATTCCAGGCTAGGGCAGATGTTATCTTCAAGCAGCCAGAAGCTAATTCAACATTGAATTTGCAAGTAAGTTGAAAGCCATGTAGGTTTTGTCAGGTTTTAGGGGAAAGCTGTACAAGAGATGAGCTCTTTGCAAGCCTTTTTATTTTCATGTCTTTCATGTCCCATTACAGGATGTGCAAGGGCTTGTTACCTGGGTTCTCAGTGATGGAGTCATGCCGTCGTGGGTTTTTATCAAAGTAAAGATCTTTTGCTTTATAATTGTCATTCATGATTAAGTAACTTTACCTTTATAGATGTGAACTCTTCAGAATGTTCTGTCTTTTTCCCTTTTCCTTCTGTAACCCGGGGTGGGGGGTGGGCTTATCTGTTTATGTTAACTATGATGTTGTCTTTGCAACATGCAACCTTTTCTGGAGTTAAAAATTACACATATTGTCTTTTACGAGACGTATACCAATTTGGTATGGCAAGCTTGGCAAAGTGGTGCTTTTGTGAAAACTTAATGCTTAAACTGCTTGTTAAAGTACTTTAGTTTTAACCCTGTTCTCCTGTAAGGAAAAGAGTCAATCAATTATACTTTGGTTTGCTAAGAGTTTTTGATGGTTGATTGATATTTATTGCTCTTTTCTGATACAGAACAAGCCCTTGATACCGAAGGTGGTTCTGCTTTATATGCCTGGGCTTGATGCAGCTATGTACTTATCACAGTCTAAGTTACTTCACACCTTGAAAGATTGTTGTGGCATTCCTCGAGCAGTTTTAGCTCTCAGGTTGGTGATGCATGTTGAGAAGGAAATGAATTTCTTATCTTAGCAAAAATTATTGCCTATTAATTCCTTCCATTCTAGTTGTTTATCGGATCCTATGAAGACCATTGATGCTCTGCTTACCTGCCAAATGAAAAGAAAGAGAGAAGCAACTCAGCCTGTTTCTAAAGGTGTTATTCAGACCAAAGAAGGTCCTTGTATCTACCTGTTTTAACCTTTGAATGTTCTCTATTCTCGTTGCTTTGTGTGAAGAGATTTACATGTATTTCCACTTTGTCTTGAATGTAATTTTCAGTGCACTGATTTTAAAGTTGGGTAAAGAATGAAGTGTGACAAAGCACCTGGAGTGCCAGCTGTTGCATGACAATTGCCTCTTTATTTCCCTACAGAATTTCAGTTCTAACACAAAATTTTTAAGACCATGCTCTGATGTATTATGAAGTTGGTGATTTGTGCTTTTAACGGTGAATAAAATGTCAATGTCACATTTCGAGTAAAAGCTTTTTTAGGTAGCTTCCTGTAGCAACTAGACTACTAGGAGATTCTATCGTTATTGAAACTTATTTTTCTTATATTTTGAGTTTGTAATGTTGTTGACACAGCAACTCTATTCTCAAAAAGATTTTAGTTTGTCCTTGAAACTGATTACTTCCATATCTATCCAACTAACTGGATATTTTCTTTAAGCAGGAACTAGTGCACCTAGCTCAGAGAGTCCATCACCCCTGCATGATCTGAAAAATCTTCCTTTCCCTTTAACTCATTATACACTTAGCGCGAAGGAGCTAGAAGACAATGGATATTGTAGCCAACCAGGTAAAAACTTCTTGGTGTAGAAATTTCATTCTTTACCTTCCTCTCTTAGTGGGTATGCTTATCCTGACAGTGTGTAACTTCTGGTGATATTGTGCCCCATTGTAGATTTCCTGATAACTCGTCCGGCTCCTTCTGGTAATCCTCCTTATGAGATTTTGGCACTGGACTGTGAGATGGTAAGAAAATTGTTCCATGTCTTCTATTTAAATATAAATGTTATTCCATTTACAAAATGATTTGTGAGAACTTGCTTCTTTTAGTAGCTCTTTTAATTTGCTACATGTGTTTTCGGTGCTCTGAAGAATTCCACCAGTTTGTAGTATTCATGGTCGTTTATAATGAAAGTTGGATAGCAGAGAAAGGATTGACCTGATATAATTTCTGTAGATACCCGGTTAGACTAAACTTGTTTGAGGATACTTCATCAATGTCTTTATAACCTAGTCATTCTTGATGCGGCAGGAATCCCATTACTCTCTACATCTTAATTCCCATTTTCCCTTGCAAGATCTTTACAAATTTTAAACTGATCCAACCAGCAACGTCGTAAACCATACAAGGATAGATTTATATGGCAATGCATTGTTAGCAGTGGTCTCCCATTACCACCCCGCCCTCTCTGTCCTCTCTCTTAATTGACTTTTGTGTAGAAAAATATGAATTTTCTTTTGGTTGGTTTATCCATACTTATTATAGCATTGTGATTTTTTAAACTTTCAGTGTATTACGAATGAGGGGTTTGAGCTTACTAGGGTGACCCTGGTGGATGTCCAAGGACAGGTATTCTATTAGCTTTATGATTTTCTACCTTTGTTTGTATTCTAATCTTTAACCTCAATTTTGATATCATTGCTGCTTTGGTGAAACGTGAGTTCCCGCCCGGGGGTGGGTGGGTGGGGTGTTTCCGCGGCCTGGCAGAGTTATCTCAATTTTACTTCTCGATCATTTTGCTTCCAACTATGATTTCATGCAAGAACAGAAGCCTTTTAGTGAGAAGTGCCTCTTTTTCCCCACCCCGGTTTGGTTTTGTTACTTAAATGAGGCCAGAGTTGCATAAAAACATGATGTATGTGGTGGTGCAAGCGCATTTGGGGTTTGTGGAAATAAATCTAACGAATAGGGTCTGGATTAGTTCATATTTTATATTCTGAATCTGTTAGGGTGGCCAGGCGACCATATTTTTGTTGCTTTGAATGGCTAAATCCTCAGTTATCATATAGTTTGACTGATCGTGACATTTTTGTAGGTTGTGTTGGATAAGTTGGTCAAACCATTGAACGCCATCGTTGATTATAACACTCGGTAATTTTTCTCTCCGTTAAAACTTACTTTTGAGATAAGCCGTTCTAAATCAGCTATTACTGCTCATGTAATTTGAACGTTTGCATTAACACTTAGAGAGTTCTTTTTTTGTTTGTCACTTATAAGTATTCGGAGCCTCCGCTTTGCTTATTGTTCTTTTTCTTTCCATTGTTGTAATTTCATCTTTTTATGCTGTTGTAATACGAACAGTTTCCTGGATCAATATTGAGTTAGGTCATCTTGTACTCGGTGGTTTTCTAGGTCATTTTCTTTACTTGAGGCATGTAATGAATGTCTAAGATGTTAGGGCTTCATGTATCACGAGTTTATTATAGCTGATCTTTTTGGTTGAGCTTCTTTTTTTTTTTTGAGGTATTTTACGAGTCTGTAGCTAAAAAAAAATTGGTTCTTTGCACCCTTCCATCTTTAAGTATCCTTTACTTTTTTGTCTCAATCAGTTGATATGCCAAAATACAAAGTAACTGGATTGTAAATATGAAAGAGAGATCTGAAGCTGGAGTCTGTAAGGTTTTTATGATATTTAGGTTTGGTCACAGTAATGGGATATTGCGGAGATTATGTATGAAAAATTTATTGAGAGGCTCTGAACAGACATCTCTTCAGGGCTTCATAGTAAGCCATGTGTTGGTAGACATCATCTTCCTAAACAGCATTAATATGCTAGTTTTTTTTTTTTCTTATCTTCCTTGAAGACAGTCACCAGAGTTACCTAAGCAAAACAAAACCGTTCGCCCATTAAGAATCAGGTTACTATGTTCATTTTTGCCTTGCTAATTGATGTGATTACAGATCATCTGCTGTGGTGAATCTTTTATAGATGCTATTTGCAAATGTTTCAAATTTTAATTTATAAGATAAATGAGACGAGTTAGAAGCTAGGTTTAGGAGGGTGTAGAATCCAAATGTTTCACACATAGGATTGAGTCATGATCTCTTTTATGGAAGTGATGATTGGGTTATGTCGAAATTGGATGTATTTAAGCATAGAAAAGTCAAAACTTTAGGACCTGGCTCTTTGGTAAACAAGTGGATCGATATTGAAATGAAAATTTTATAAATGATGATAAGATCCTTGTTGCTTTATGGATTAAGTATTTACATAGGAGACTGTTAGATTAACCAATCATGTAGAAAAAGCAGAAAACAACAACTACATGCCCAGTATATTCCTGTTTTGTTGGGATCTGGGGGTCAAGGTATGCAGCCTAATCCCTGTATTTTAATACAGAGAGGCTGTTTTGAGCACGACCCAAGATGCATTGGTGCATTTGACATATTGATTTCCAGCAGCTTCACGAAAATTAATGGGTTTGGTTATATTTCTGTAAATGGCTTCTTGGGAATATCAGATACGTGTTTTCTTCATTTGTCTTGTCGGAAAACTTTTACAGATGTTCTGTGTGTATGGATCTTGTAGGTACAGTGGAATCACTCATGAGATGTTAGATGGGGTTACCACTACTTTGAAGGATATTCAGGTCCCTTGGTCATAAGCTTCATTTTCCCTTCACGCTTTTAATTGTATATAAGACTTATTCATTTCTTACATATTTTCTTTGACTATGCTTTTGCCTTCAGGAGGAGTTCCTACGACTGGTTTACAATGAGACTATTTTGGTTGGCCATTCATTGGAGAATGATTTATTAGCTCTGAGGATAGTTCATAATCTAGTCATTGACACTGCAGTCTTATATAAACATCCACGCGGCCGATCTTTTAAAACCGCTCTTCGAGTTCTGAGCAGTAAATTTCTTAAAAGAGAAATTCAGGATTCAGGAAACGGACATGATAGCATTGAGGACGCAAGAGCCACAATGGAATTGGCGCTACTGAAGATTAGGCACGGTATGTGAAATGTTTTCTTTTGCCAGAAGCCTCTGTAATGTAGAGCTCCTGGTAGCTTGAGTTGAGCTTTACTCTTCTATTTTTTCATGGTTTTCATCGTACTCTTTGTTTTTAGATCCTACTGCTCTTGTGCCTGTGTTTTGCATGTTTGGAGAATTCATCAGAGAGTATTGCTTTCATAAAAGTAACCTGTATCAGTAATAATTTTTATGGTTGACCTAGCATGCCGTCAATAGAGCTTCTGAGTTGATTACTAGTATTTTTACTTCTTTCACTGTTATCACAGCTTCAGTTGATGCCATTTCTTGTCCATTGCTTATCCAAATTGTCTTCATCTCTTGTTATAACTGTGCGTGGCTCTCTGCAATAGTAAACATGAGTGACTTATTGCCTTGAAGAAGTACCCAGACTCGGAGCACTGGGACAAATAAATTTTCATGTTCTTTGAACACTTCAAAGAGATGAGACTTTTCATTATGGAATAACTAAAGAACACTTATTTTACCTTAAATTTAACTATATGCACATGAAAGAATTCTACTGCATTTGCTTTTGGACAGATCAATGTGCATTACTAAGATAAACTAGTGTATGTCTGTACAAAAGCTCTGGACAGTTTACCTATCACAGAAAATTTCTATTCTGGCCAATGGTCATGATACACTTGAGATCAACAAAATGATTGGATGCTTCTAAATACTGTATGGTTGCTCGAGGACAATAGATATTTTATTTTTTATTTTTTTATTTTTTGAAGTAGTTTTCCTTTTTATGTTCCATTTATCTTTATCTGAGTTAAATTTTATGGTGTTCCATGCATTGTTGACCTTTGACATTTCTTGTTAGGTCCTGATTTTGGTGCACCATCATCATCGTTCATAAGGAAAAAACTCCTAACATTATTGAGCGACTCTGGCAAAACATCCTCCATAGTTGATGATGTATCTATTGTTAGGAGATATGCCTCTGAGCTGTCACATTCAATTCCAGTGACTTCGGATGATGAAGCTCTTTCAAAAGCCATGAAAGAGGTGATCCACATAACTTGCGTGTTTTAAGCAAAGTACTTATTGTCATACTCTGCAGCTAGCTCTCTGCTGATTGTGCTCATCTTGATAGGTAAAAAATGATAAAGTGCATTTTGTATGGACACAATTTGCCGAATTAAACTGTTATTACAAGAAGCAAGCAAATGACTCAGCAAAACTAAACCAGAAGCTTGCTGAGATGATAGCTTTACTTACATGTAAAGAGGTGCCTAATCGAAGGAAAAGCATAAAGTACAGTGTGTCCTCTGAACTGAAGGGCATTCTTAGTCGAATGAATGGTAGAATTAGAGATCTGCATTCCACTCTTCCTCGAAACAGCATGTTGATTGTCTGCACAGGTCATGGAGACACAGAAATTGTTTACAGGTGAATTTGCTGCCTCCATGTATCGTTGGATAAATTGTCTTTTACTTGAGATGTCTCTGGTACTAAGAAGTTTTTGTATGTGAAAATTTAAATATACATGATGGAGATTACAGGATTTGGCGCCCATGCATTTAGGAGGGTTATCCTTTATTTGCAATGATTATACCAGAGAAATTCACTGCATGTGCTATGTGTGCTTCAACGTACATGTCGTATCTTAGGAGGGACAATTTCTGTGTCTTTTTTACAGTAAAACCTCAGAGGGCAGTGGGGTTCGCACCTCGACCAAACAGACATGTGCCTTTGCTGGTCAATCCATTTATGCTTCTGTTAACTTTTTGTGGAATTAACACTCGTTAGCCAACCGTACTACTACTGTATTTGCGTCGGCTGAAATTTAAAATTTATGTCAAACGGATTGACCTAATAAATATGTGTGTTGCTAATTTGCGTTCGATGGAAGTCTATTGCTAATTTGTGTTGGATGGAAGTCTATCTGCGTAGGTGAGAATGTAGGTTTGAGTAGTCTGCTTCATCCCTCCTCATGACTTGATCCTTAGGACTTTGATTAAAGACTACAACAGGAAGCCAGTCAACAGCTGTCCATGGGAACTTTTTTAATTTCTAGTTGATGTATTCTGTTTTTGCATTTTACATATCTAATAATGTATTCCAGATTTGTGGCATCCCTAGTTTCCGAGCAAGTTCCATCTTTTAGGGTTCTTGCTGTTGAGTGTTGCGTGTAGATTATGTTGTTGAAGGTGCAACGCGAACTATAGAGATTTCAGTAGCACTCAGAAATATTTGCATTCATTCATGTTCTTTAACCGTCCTTTGATATAAGCTCCTAAATATCACATTCTGATACTGTATTTTTGGTTCACAATGAAGAATACGCAAAATCCTAGGCGAGCAGACAGAGACCTCATTTAGCCGTGACAAACTTGTGAAAGCTTTGGAAGAGTTGCAAGCCCAGGCTGAAGTAGGTTTGTGTTTCGTTGGGGTAAAGCACTGATTACGTTCATGTCTCCCTTGGATGATGTCTTCTGATGTGTGCGGCATAATATAGGCATAATAGGGTAGAAATTTTGCAGTTTAGAGGAGGCAGTCATGGCTACCAATGCCGGAGGATTACCCTGCTTTGCCAATTTTGTCTCCAGCAGTAGTGTAGAAACGTGGGTATCCATGTAGAGCGGCTCATACACCTTACCTATATTCTTTATAGGACTTCTTTATAATGTAATCTAATTTATTTTCTGAAGAGGTCTTGGTGTGGTTCCAAAGTTCCTAACACCTGACCCTGTGTCGAAATGTGGTCCTTTCACCAAATTTGTTTCCCTATCGGTTTTTTTTTTTTTTTTTTAATTATGGCTAGCTACTTTTAAAATGTACTTGCTATTTGATAAAGCTAAAACCCACGAATTGTCATACAGGGAACTGAATCGTTGCAAACATCAACCAAAAACTTGTTGAACGATTCAACAAATGGATTAACGAAGGTGGTTGCATTCAAATCTCAAACTTCGGTTATGTGCTTAATAATTCGGCCACGTTTTAATTAAAAAAATGACACTTTTCGCCCTCGAACTTTTGGGGGTAGCAAGATCGAGTCACCATGAATTTTTAATTGGTAAAAATAATTTCCTAAAATGTTTTGCTCGTTAATTTTAGTCAATTTAACAGAATTTTTAGTTAACTAACGGGTCAAATCTTTTCCTCCGTTACTTTTTTATTTTTTATTATTTTCTTCCTAATTGTGGGACCCACAAACTATAACAAAATATTTTATTAATTTTTTCTGAATGTGGGCCCACAACTATTACCAGCAAATATTTTATTAATTTTTTTATGAATTGGACTATTTTTGTAAATTAAAAATTCATGGTGACTCAATCTTACTACTCTCAAAAGATGAGGGACGAAAAGTGCATTTTATCTAAAAAAAATATCAAAAGCATGCAACATGGTAATGTACAAATTCCAACAGATCAATTTTTGTAGCAAGGTTTTCTGAATTGGATCTTGCTTCAAAAATGTGATTGGAAAAAGAAATATCAAGCAGATAATTTCGGCAAAGTCAGTCCCAGTAATAAATTTTAGTGATCAACAAAAATTACCTACTTCATGCAAAGATTTCCATGGCGACATAGATCGAAACCAATATTTCAATATTACCAAATTGAACTTAATTAGAGTTTACAATATTAAAAATGATTGATTAGTTTCAAAGAAGACGTGTGTGATTCATCCTAATTAGTTCAATCGTGTCAATATTATAGTATATGAAAGGAAAAAGCTACATGAACATTGTAGCTGGATGTGTATAATCAAGATTCTAGCATTAGAAGTTGTCGTTACACTCTATCATCAAGTTGCAATTTTTTTTTCCTTAGCTTGCATTAACAAAAATCAATGGCAGATACACCGTTAATACCAAATCAAATCAGAAATTAAGGATTGAGGGTTGGTTGCAATTTTGGCTGATGTATTTATTTTCCATAATGGGATCGAGGCGTCAAATATTGAAAAAAAAAAAAATTTAAATGAAAAATCAACGAAGGCATATCTTTTGAGATTTAATTACTTAAGATAATATGTTTCACATAAGAAGATAATTTTGAAAAATGCTCAAATCTGGAACTTCATTGTTTAATTATTTAATATATATATAGTGCAATTATCATTGTTTAATTATTTTAAATGATCAAATCTGCTACTTTATTTAGCCCAAAAATAATTAAAATAATCTACAAACTTTTTTTCAGGTACGTATATAGGGGATTAAAACAATAAAAGGAAAAAAACTTAATATCTTTTAATGTGCATGAATCAATAATACTATGTATTAGTGATTGCACCCGAACGAAAATATGGAAGAATTTTCAATCACCATACTTTCGTTAAAAAAATATGGAAGAATTTTCTAAATACAAGACACACTGTACATTGCACCCGAACGAAAAAAAAAAAAAGAAGAAAAACCTTCATCTACGATGTGGATTTAAAAAGCATGAAATTTGATTGAATATATGTAAGCATTGTTGAGTTGCTTCCAGCCAAAACTCTATGCAGAAAATAGTTGATTTGACCTAAACCTTCCCTCCTGCCCCAATTTAATTCAAAAGAATTTTTTGAAACCAATTTCATCTATTTGGTCAATTTCATTCAATTTCGTTAATTTTATACTTGTTTCGCTAGTTTATTAATAAAATAATAAAATTTAATCACTAAAACTCCCCAACAGTTTCAACACTTAAAAAAATAACTCATAAAATATTTAAAATTAACAAAATCACACATTTTCAATTTTTCTCCCTATTTCGATGTTAAAGTGTTTTATAATTTAATTGAGTAATTATCAATTGCATTAATAGTATTTTATAATTTAAAAATAAAATACAAAGGAATTAAAACCAACAATCAAAATATTTCTCAATCCTAAAATTTTTTTCCTTAACTTATCTCCTCTCCCCATTATATATTACCCTATTATATTTCCTGCCTCTCTTTTACTTTATCTCTATCCCGGCCCACCATCACCACCTCGATTGTTCATACTCCCTCCGTCCCATAATTATTGTCCAGTTTTACTAAAATGAAAGATTTTATTTTTGGTCAAACTTAACTATATTTTACCTTAAACAACCGGATATATCCCTACATAAGTAATTGTTTAACCACTAAGATTTTATGGATAATGTTTTTTACTAAGGACAAATGTGTAACTTGATCCATAAAAAGTCAAATTAGACAATAATTTTGGGACAAAATTTTTTAGGCAAAATGGACAATAATTATGGGACGGAGGGAGTACTACAAATAATCCTCGCCTTCACATAGTATTATTGATAAAACTAAAACGTAGATAATTCTAAAATAAATTTATGCAATTAGTAGCAGCGAGAGTTATGAAATCAAGACTAATAAATAGTATTCGATAATATCTAGGTAGTTATGATAATTGGTTTTGAATATTATTATTCAAAAATCAAAAATGAAAAAACAAATTTGAGCAAATTATAGGACAAGTAATTTGTGAAAATAAAATATAGTAATGATGAGTTATAGAATATCTATCACATGTTGTTTTATTGAAAAAGTATGTTAAGTGAAATAAATATTTTTTTTTATTTTTACAAATTTTAGGAGTTATTTTTATTTTATTATCAAATGTGCACGTACTCATATGCAGAGTATAGTCTAAATTTGTCATTGGATATCACATAATACTCTCTCTGTCCAAAAAAAAAAAATAGTCAACGTTATGTTTTGAAATTTTTATTTTTTAGTTGTACAAAGGTTAAAAGTTAATGTAGATTATTTCTTACGCCAAAGGGAGTATATATTTTAATAGCTCTAAGAAATAAATAAAAGAGAAAAAAATGAAATTGGGAAAGAAATGAAAAGGTGTGATTTAATTTTACATATTTTAGACGTAATTTTTACTCCCTCCGTCTCATAATTATTGTCCAGTTTTACTAAAATGAAAGATTTTATTTTTAGTCAAACTTAACTATATTTTACCTTGAACAACCGGATATACCCCTACATAAGTAATTGTTTAACCATAAAGATTTTATAGATAATGTTTTTTACTAAGGACAAATGTGTAACTTGATCCATAAAAAGTCAAATTAGACAATGATTTTGGGACAAAATTTTTTGGGCAAAGTAGACAATAATTATGGGACAGAGGGAGTATATTTTGGAAGTAGAAAAGAGTTTTTGTGATTAATTTTATTATTTAATTAATAAACTAACAAAGTAAGGTTAAAATTAACGAAATTGAATGAAATTACCTAAAACGTAATATTATCCAAATGAAACTGGCTTTCAAGAATTCTTCTGGGTTAAAATGGTCAGGAGGCGGAAGATTTGGTTCAAATCGAACATTTTCTCCCTCTATAAACCATATGAAACAATCTTATAGACATATGTCCATCTGACTATCATCCATCGGACACTTCCCTTTTCTCCTTCGTCTCTCTTATCTTGAGCATTTTATTATGAATTCAGAAATCTCAGCTGATGCAAGAAAGAAACAAAGATTGGTCATGTTCAAGAAACGTAGTAATAGTTTTTCGATAAGAATATCCCACCTATTCAAAAACATGCAGGATTAACGAGCACCCAAATTATAAAGTACTCATATGCAACAAGAAAAAACAATCAGAGGAAAAATAATCTTTAAAACAGCACTCCAAAGCACTTAATAGTATATGCTATATTATGTTCTTACACCGTGTCAAAATTGAAAGTTTCATAATAATAAAATATTATTATATTATGTTTAAATAAGAAGAATCTGTCAATCCATGCAACGCACGGGCATAAACTAGTAACAATGAAAGGAAAGCAGAAAGACAACAGGAATATGTTCTATTAATCACTAGTAGAAACACATATATTAGGATTAAGACAATGAAATCTCTGAATATTCCAAAACAAATTCACTACTTAATTAGATCCTATATCACCCTGCATCCTGATAAATACAAAGTTAAAAATATAGCTACTGTCAGATCCCAGTTCACCTTACATCTCATTCAGGTGCTACTTAATAATGTTGTGTTTACCTCCACGCTGAAGCAGCAATCAAAATTTTGTCCTCCCATCCAAAATGAAGGCCACTTGCCTCCTCCTTAATCTTGTACCTGTCAGAGTACTGCTTTATAAGTTTCTGTATTTCGTCCTTCACAATTCCGCTAATCGGGCTTGGGTTAAAGCCAGCCATCATCATCCTAGCTCTCCATTTTCCTGCCACCTCATACCGCTCGATTCTTTCTTCTCCTTCGCATGCCACGACATTGATAATGTCGCGTGCCAAACATTGCCTCTCTACATTCATTCTCTCCTGGCCATTTCTCGGAAGAGTAGCATCGAGGGATTCAAACACGGCACCATAGTAACTATAGGCTTCAGCAAACCTCTGCAGGAATGGAGCTGTGTTAGTGTTCACATCCTGTTCCACAAGAGTCACAAGCTTTGGATTTAAACCCTTGACCATTCGAAGAAGCTGATCTCGTTCATTTACAATCGACACACTTTCATCAGGCATGTGATGCAGCTGGAAAGCAAAATTTACAATAATTGCTTCCCCAGGCCTGCAGTCAAGCATTGAGGGCCTGATATCAGCTGTTTTCGCAGCAACAGCATGAAAGGTAAATGGGATCTTTAGGTCTTCTGCCAACGTTTTAAGCATCTGGCCAATAAGTTGCAGGCCACCCACAGAACGTTGAACTGATTCAGGATCATCAACACCAGTTAACCTTAAATGGGAAGGCTTATAGGGTAGCCTAGACAGAGTCTGAAGAAGGGTATAATATTGACTTCCTTGGTTAATATCAAAATCTATGATATGAACTTGTCTTTCATCCCGACAAGCCTCCAATATCGCACCATTTGCTGTCATAAATCCAAACCTAAAACATGGACAGACCTCAAATAGGACTTGCATGGCAGAGAGCCGATCAGAAGATGGGGGCTCTTTGCATTTCAAAGCCTTATAAAGACCTTTGCCAGAGGTAGCCATTCGGGCAGCAAGGGCTTCCACCATATATGCAGCAATCCTTTCAGAAGGATCTCCCTGTATTGAGACTCTCTGACGCAGCTCATTAATTATTGCCGAGGCACAGCCAAAATTACCACCTTGAATTGCTGAGGCACAGTCAAAGAGCATTTGCTTGGGACTTGAAGAAGTGATTGCAGATATATCCTTATTGGTACTCATACTACTAAGATTTGAGTCTGAGGATGATGACTCCTTCGGTGAGTCATGGAGCAACCCATTCCCGTTACCGTAACCCCATCCACCATCGTCTTCCATACTCATTTCATGACCGATTACATCTTCATTGATGGTACTGGTATCGTCAAAAAGTGCTCTTTCAAGTTCTTGTAGCTTTAGTTTCATTTTGTCTTCATCGTAGTCAACTGCATCAGGACCCTCAAAATCCAAGTATTCAGATCCATAGCTAGAACTATTAGAATTGCATTGCTTTGGTGGCACGAAGGAGGAGCTAAAAGAATTTTGGCTTGCGCTGAATTGCTGCTGGGAAGATGAATGCGGCAAATGAAATGGATTTTCTAAAACATCAGAAACTGATGAATGCACTGCTTCTTCTGATGGGGAATGTAGAAAGTAGGTTGGATCATAACTCTCATTGCTGTACGATTCCGTTGAGCAAGCCAGTCCTTGCTTTTTGTCTGAGTTGAATATTTTAGCTGAAAGCCCTGGGCCATTACCAGCATCCTTCAAGGAATACAATTTACCACTTCCAAAAGGGGAGACAGACCTAACAAGAGACATGCTTAATTTTTGGTCTGCAAATAAGGGTCATCCACAGTTTTTCCTCCCGTTATCCTCTGAAATCAAAAGGAAATATTTCTCTGCTAATTCCTCTTGAAATGAACACAAAAACAGGTCTTCTTGTATAAAGATCACATTCAGGGGCTACAGCAAATTTCTGCATTCAGCCACGAAACATAACAGAATTATAAAAGTGGAAACAAGAGAAGGACCAATCTGATCAGAAAAGAAATAAGAGATCAAACTAATCAAACAATCAACTCTAGAACCAGTAAACATGTACACAATAGATAGTAAACGAAAAGATTGAGGAATAAAGGCATTAGAAGAAATGAGGGGAGGGTAAGCGGATCCTAATTGTATTGCAAACTAATTAGACATATATGGATACGCAACAGAAACAGCAATCATATCAAGCTTATGCATCTAATCCAGTCCCCCCGCCTCATTCTTAAATCTTTCAAAAGTCAACCAACCATGTTCATATATCAGTATTGATTAACCCAAAATTCATACGCGAAAAGCCTTTGAATTTCCTGTGTAACAGCTTAGTGAAAGAAGCAAAGGAGCCAGTGTTGGTTAGATTGGTTGAGAAATTATAGTTTTCCAAAAATCCAGAGTAAAATTCTACATTCATTCATAATCATGCCAATGAAGAAAACCAGAAAAATAAAATGGGGACCAACCAAAGCATCTGTCCCATGAAGAAAGCTAAACAATCCCATAACAAAAATTCAAGCCTTTCTTTACACTGTATCATGAACTTAATATATGACACAAAAAAAAAAAAAACTTAAAAATAAAAGACGAACCTATTCAGAACAGCTCCAAAGAAGATACTCAAGTTGCAGCAAAACTAGAACAACAAAACACTCAATTTCATTTCAAAGACCATAAACTCAAAACCCAAATCGAATAATCCGAGAAACAAGAATTTTCAGAGTTAAACAACCTTGAAAACAAGTAAACGGTCAAACGAAAAAACGCGGCAACTGATGGATCAAAAGCAACCAAAAAAGGACAGCAAAGAAATAACAGTGAAACCTCAGGTAATCCTACCTGAATTTCCGAACAGGGAAGGGAAGTCAAAGGATCTAACAGAGTAAAATAGTTCTACTCTGAGATTTCTAGAGTTTGAGAAATGACCACAAATTCTCTTTGGAATTGGGAGATGAGGACGAGGCACAAAAACACTATGTGGGCTTTTTTTCTTTTTTGACTGGGAAAACGATAAACAAAGAAAATTATATATTGGGAATAAATACGTACCATTTCACGTCATCCTTTTGGAGATTAAATAAATAAAAAAAAACAATTGTTGGAGTTGGGTTGGTACAAAAGCAACTATAAATACTAATACATGAAACATAAGTCAATGACATCTTAAGGAGATTATTTTTTATCTGTTCCGAAATAATTATCAGTGGCTCTTATGTTATTACGGGATGGAGTTAGAAAAGTATGTATTATTTACTTTTTCTTTCAAATTTATATAAGGTTTATTCACAAAATTGCATTGAAATGTAAATTCTTAAAAGAGGTGCTTAGATATGCAAATAATAATTTTAAAAGGTACTGATATTTGAGTTTTTTCTTTTGAGTTTAGGTGAGTAGCCACAACACAAGCTCTAATTTTTAGTTAAGTGGTACAAATTTAGCTTGTTTTCTGACAAAATACAAGACATTTATAAAATATTGTTGAAATAAAACTTCTATTCACCGTATTATTTTAGTTCAATAAATGAAAAAAAGATTATTTTTTGGACGGATAATCATTTCGCAATAATTTTGTTCTTTCTAAATTCTAAGCAAAAAGTAATATCTCCACAAAAATATTTGAGAATAAGAAAAGGAATATAGTTCCTCATTTTGTGACCCTACATAAAACTCAAACCTTAAACTAAGCAAACCATACTTTTCATTTCGCTTAACATTTTTGTATGACAACTTCCATGATTGACACGAATTTTTTCCCCTAAAACAAGTGATAAGAAACTGAAAGTTCAAAATATTCTGGAAAAAAAAAAGAAAAAAAAATCAGCTTATCAGTACACTCCAAGCTGAGGTAATTCTGAAAAATCAATCCAATATAGACTTGAAGACTCCAAGAAGAACATAAGAAGAAATCTAAAACCTTCTGGAATCTGAGTTGAAATAGTGAAAATTCATTACCCCAAAGAAGAGGTAATCTGTAAATAGAAGCTTCATTTGTCCTGTTCAATTTTGTTAATTACTGCCTGCTTCAGTATTATCTACATCTTCCGTCCTATTTTAATAATTCGTATTTCTCATACTCTAAACGCTGAAAACTTATTTACCAAAACAAAGAAAAAGTAGAAAAATCTACCAACAACTTGATTGACTCTGATGGGGAAAAGAAATGGTGTGGGCAAATCCAGTACAACTCTTGGGTCAACCACTACAAAAAAGAGGCACCCTTGCAAATATGGACCCAAAAAAAATGATAAAATCATTATACTTTGCTAATCAATTGCATAGATGTTGATTAAGAATCTAACGGCAGAAGTTTTAACATCTCCCACGTAACGTCATAACTTGATGACACGTGTAAAACTGTTGTTAGCGCGGTCAAAATTGCTGATGTAGTTAATGATGTCTTTGCTCCAACTTTTGGAATGAAATTTATAATTAAGACGTCAAACTTTCCGAAATTCATTTGAAAGGGCGGAAATAAGCAAGTATTTTTTTTTAAAAAAAAATATTTATAAATATTTTGGGCTGGACTTTACATTTTACTTAATAATAAAAGATAAAGGAAACAACTTCTTGCTGCAGGCTGAAAATCGATTGTAAATTTGTTTAGAGTACCAAAGTCAAGATAAAAACTTTGTATTGTAGACTAATCACTTTTTGTCGACATTTTATAAATGATGGAAATAGTTAAAATGGGTAAAAATATTTTCTTTAGCTAAAATGAATAGTCAATGTTCCTTAAAATTAGGTTTTCCATTTGAGGTTTTGGTGATCATACATCAAGTAATTTACTAGTTAAAAAAAAACAATTATTTTCAATGTTACTCATATTTTTAATGTGAGCTATTATAAAATCACCATTCTAACTAAGAACCAAGCAAAGTCCTTACTATAATTCGAAAGTGCACCTTTCACGAGCTGATGCATTTTTTCTTTTTAGATGTTAAATCCCTTTTGACTAAAAACTTTTCAAACAAAACATGGTGTAATTTGGATAAAAATAAATCCCAGGAAGCTTCTTTATCCACATGAAAGGCTTTTTCCCTAGGGTCATGCTCCCCCGTATTACACAACATTTGATTTTCAAAGACGCGTCCGGTGTAAGAGAGGATAAAGGTAGGTCAAATGAACATTAAATTTAATTCCACATTATTCATTGGAAGAATAACAAATCCATCCAAAAGTGCAATATTTCATTCTAAGTTCGATATTTTCTGGAAAAGTAATGTAGATCTTGGGTGGATTTGTTGTGGGATGTGATTTATAATATTCTCTCTGACTCAAAATTATTGCTCAGTTTGAATTTTTCATTTTAAAATAAATCAAGTAAAAAAAAAATTCAAATTGGACAATCATTTCGGGGCAGAAAGAGTTTATTTTTATAATGTTCAAACAATTTAAAAAGTTTGACATGTATCAATTTAATTATGCATATGGCTTAGGGACTTACTACTATATAGTACTAATTGGGGGCTAGTAATATTGTTCGGGGTCTTGTCAAATTTGGTCCGGAAATGATATATGTGAAAATTGTAGTGTAACTAGGGATTCAAAACGAAAAGGGGAAAAAATTTATTTATATCGATAAACATGGTCTAGCAACTGTCTATCTTGAGAGCTTAATTAATTGCATTGAGTAAGTACGCACTGAAATAACCCCTATTTAGCAGATAAGATATGTTGTCAAGTGTTTCTTCTTCTGTTTGTTCAAAAACTCACGACTTATATATATTTTTTCTTTAAAAACAATGTCGCTAAAGATGATAGAAAAAAGGGAAATAAGGAAAAGATAATTCGCAAAAAATTAACTTATTTCATGAGTTAACGTATATCAAATTTCATACTAATACTCTTTCCGTCTTAGAAAGTCGGTCCGTTATTATTCTCTCCTTCTCAATGAATTTAATTACAGTATTATTTTGGACGGAAAGCTCATTTCATATACTAACTCTTTTTGAAAGCAAGTAATATTTTTTTTTCCAAATATAATTAAATTACAAGAAAATGATACTTGTTTTTGATGCAATAAAAGAGGCCAAAAATATTTAAATACGTGTGAAGTACCGTTTCTCATGATATTGTTGTTACATATCACCACATACAGATCATACAAGCATTTGAAATTTATTAACACCAGGATCAGAAGTTTACAAGTAAAGTGAAATAATTCGACCCATATTCAATCTTTAGAAACGAATTACACCATTTTGGATTAGCCAGCTAGCTTCGTTCTTAATGCTATCTGCACAATCAACAACGTACTTCACTTTTCATCATTAATTCCACTTCAGAAATGTGAAACGAATCTTACTGTCTAAATCAACAGTGATGAAGTGGTAAGTTCTAAATTTCAAAAAACCCAAAAAAAAAAAATAAAAGAAAAGAAAAAAAGCTGAAAAAGAAAAATTCCTTTCATTATTAGGGGAAATCAATTTCTAGTACAAAATCCATTCACATCTTTGTCATCATTCCTCATCCTTATCCAAGACCAAGTGTTGGAACAAACCAAGTTGTTTTATTATTATTATTAAAAAAGATAGTGCATTTGTACTGTTAAATTTTCTAGTAGTAGTATAGTATGATAAGACAACGAATTGACTTCCATGCGCTTCATTTTCAAAAGTTCAACTGTTAAACTGCCTCTTCAATATAAATCTCTTTCACCTAATCGATTTAATGACATGGAGTGCACTTAAGTACTACTCAAGAAACATCATGTTTATTATACTGTACCATTTTTTTTTATTTCGACAAATAATATTTTTTTTTTTTTTTTATCAGAATGGATGGTGTTGGTTTTGAAGTTTAAACTATCGCCTCGTAAACCATGTAACGGAAAAAGGAAAAGAAGAGTAGAGGCAGAATTCGAAGGAAAATTAGACTATGGAAGGCATCATAGAGGCTGTGATTGATAATATTCCCTATTAATTACCAGTTTAAAATAAATGAATTTTATATAATGGAGCTAGGCTAGGAAATGAGATTGGGCTTGGGTTACACTTAACAATCCGCATAGGAAAGATGGGCTTCCAGAATTGATTTGATAAAGGCCCTAATGAGTCTCACCATCTCTCAACTAGAAGTGGATATTTTTTTAAAGAAATAAATCTTGAAACCATAGGCTTAATTTACGGGTTAAATAATTTATTGGTTAGTTTCTCAAAAGAAAATGATAACTAATAACCAGATTTTTTTTTTGTTTTTGTTTTTGTTTTGATAAAGTACCTGTTTATTTATTATGTTAACGTAATTATATCATTGTATTTTTGCATAAGCTAAATTATACAATTCACAAACATTAGTTCTAATTACTTTTAACAAAATACATGATTGAAATTAAGAGATTAACCGGCGTAGGCGGATCAATACTTCCTGTATTTTCGTCGGAAAGTCATAAATTTGTTGGGTTTTTGTGAGGACTTCACAGTCCGTATGCACCATCATCTTCTGTAAATCAAGTGACTAGGCCTCTTGAAGGGCAAGTAAGCAAGTAAGTGCTTCAGTTTGGCACGCTAATAGTGCTGAGATCGGCACTAATTTGATTTGCATTAGTAATTCTAAGAGAAACACTATCTTCCATGCTCCTGCTGCACTTCTCGTTGTGGGATGAAACCAGAATTATTATCAAATAATAATACACATTTCTTTACAAATTATCTTTAATTTACGTGGCTCATTATTTTATGAATTGATAAATAAATATCGCTATCATATCAACAACGAATAAGTAAATTCTAGCTATACTATCTTGAATTTAACTGAAAAAAAGAAGTAAAAGACAGGTAGAGTTGTAAAGATATATATATGAGTAGAGACGACTGCTAGTGTTATTTAGATTGTTAGGCATTCAAAAAATGTAGGATTCTTTTAACCAAAATAGGAAAAGTTCTTCTTTTTTTCCCCTTTAAGAAGAGACTATCTTGTTGTACAGGCCTATATACGTTTTACTTTTGTTTGATCTCATGTAGTTCATAATTTCGAATGCAATTTGGCTATCCGGATGCAAACTAGATTTGGTTTTTGTTTCTTTTTGAACTTTAGGAGCTACGTTAATTCATCAAATCCATTTTCGTTGTTGTAGAGAAAAGGGGGAAAAACAGTTTAAGATGATGAATCAGTGAGTAGATTGTAATATGAGGGCATTTTGCTTAGCACATCTACGC